CTGTGTAGTCTGGTCGATGTTAAGCAACGTTTCAGAGGTCATACTGCCTCCGTCATCAGGGCGATGAATCTTTGGTAAACATCTACAAGACTACACAGCGCATCAACCCAGAAGACAGAAATCTTCATACTCACCGCTGTGAAAACCTCAAATCTTACATAATTATTTTTAATTAAGCAATTTTTTGAACTAACACTCTGAAGTACCGGCCAAAATACCACAATCTCCTCATTAGCGCCACAAGCACATTTCATTCGACGTTGTGACTGACTCCCGTTGACATTCCAGGAACTCGGAGTGTGTGACTATCCTTACAACGTAGACTGTCGCGGGACGCCGATAGGGCTTCCGGCTGTGACCCAGGAGACTACAGCGACGCCCTACCCAACAACCGGCATCAACCCCAGCAACGAAACCAACGTCTACAGCGGCACGTACGACACCTGGCTTAAGAGGATTCCAGCGAGTGAGTCGCACACACCCTGAGGAATAATTCTGTCCATGTTCGATCAATTTATTTTGTAATGCACGACACTGAAACATAACTGCCTTTCCAGGTTACACGCAGAGGAGATACAAACGCTTAGTGAAGAAGGATTAATTCTGTAAGTACCAGACTGCAGAAGAAGTGAATTCTGACAGGCACACGAATGTATAATGTAATGAATAACGAAGTTAAGCAATGCAAATGAAATACGCGTATACTTTGGTACTTAATTCTATGGACGTGTTGTATGTTCGTAACTCTGTAACATATAAAAGTAATTTAGTTAGTTATTAGTTAGTTAGTCAGTCTGTCAGTCAGAAAGTCAAGTTAAGTCTGTTGAAGTTTCTTTAGTTTGTTGGTTAGTTATTACGTTACATGAAAATGCAAATAGTTACTCTTTATGGGCAAATAAACGTGTATGAAATTTGTTCAAAATTTTCTCTGTGTTGTACTGGAGCACTTACCGATACGTGGTTTCAATAAAACAATATTTATTTATAGTTTATTTAACGACGCTTTTGTAATAGGTAAGACAATATAGCGTCTAATAAGAAGATGACAGTGAATAATGAACTGGAAAGAGT